AAATAGATGAGATCATTTTAATAAGGACCATATGTTCTGTCTCCTGTTTCAACAACAAGAACCATATATAAGCAGCTGGATTATTCTGTTCTGGGGGGGGGCACTTTAGAATTGGCACGTATCCTCTCTCAGGTACTTTACAGTGCTTGATATGATACAGTTTTACTTTGTAATAAACATCTTTTACAATGAAGACAGTGTCAGCGGAGTTTTCCTTCATCATTTTCACATCATCACCACTTAATAAACAACATGAGTCTACCATGAAATGATTTTAGCAGTATGTATTTGCAAACAGCATGTATCCATGCAAGTTACATGGCAGCAATAAGAGTGTATCCCGATTTATACTGGGCTGCATCTCCTGAGATTTTTTTTTACAAGTCACTGCCTTTAGAGTGTAAAATCTAAAGAACCTGATCCAGACTGGTGAGAAACATGACACGATAAGTAGGTGAAATTCATATGTATATTTTGTTGACAAATAGCAACAAGCACCAAGTTTTGCTGCATACAAAGTCAATGCAGACTGCTATGTCGTAGAATAAGTAAGCAGCGGTGTATGTTGGCTACGTTATACTTTTGTATTACTATTTACGAGTCACTGTACTTTAGAAGAACATCTGGGCTATTTCCATTCTGTAGAACAGCGATTTATTGTGTTGTTGATCAAGACGAAGGTGATGTTTTGCAAGTTCGTCAAATCGATATATGTAAAGTAAAAGTGGGTGACCTCCGCTTTCGAGCAAAAGACTTTGAGCGCGCGCTCCCGTGAGGGGGTGCATCTCGCGGCAGGGGTGCCGAATTCGGCACAACACCGGTTTGAGAGGACAGCGGTGCTCTGAGCGCGCAGCTAATGAACTTGAATGCACTTGTCAGCACGAAGTGCGCAGGTACGCGCCTTCGGATTTGCTCAACAAAACACTCGGTTTCATTCAAAACTTGAAAATCTGCACAACAATGTATTTCCCTCTCAGAACTCGAATGTGCAAACGACTGGTTTTCACTCAAAACTGGAAAACCTGCTCAATCGCGCTCTTCACTTTCAAAACTCGCACGTGCGCGTAAATCATTTCCGCTCTCAGCTCCACAGCGCGCGCTCAACTTTCACATCTGCTCAACTATTAAAATGTCTGAAGGTTTGTGTCAAAACTCCAGCCAATCAGAGCTGCCGAGGGGCGGTTCCTGTCAGCGCACCAATCATGGCATCTTTTCTTAAGCAGTTTTATGCCAATTGGTTCGTGGCTGTGGTATTGAGTCGGCTAGTGTGCTTGTAGCTTCGACATTAGATAGATGGTTTATAGATTTTAGTATCAAATTAATAGAAATGATTTATCAGTAATACTCATAAATAGTAACGTATTAATAACGTATTAATCTAACTAACATTGGTAGCTAGGCCATTTTTTTCCTACCAGAGGCTTAACGTTAACTAACTTCAAATACATAATGTCTTTTCCTCTGTTTGGTGTTTACACATCGGTTACTGTAAACCATTGATTAAAAACATCAACCTCTCAAACCGGAACATTCCTCTCTCAAACATCACGATCTTCTCTCAAACATTTTGACACAAGATTAACTCCATACATGTGGCATTAGATTACAATCTGTCTTTCAGGGGAGTTCGGCACAACACCGACAGAATACTTCTTGAACTTGAGCTCATCAGCAGCCCCCGTAGTTCAATATCTTCCCTATATCATTTCTTTTACCAATAGTTTGTACAGGTCAAACATACAAACGCTTATACAAAAAGTAATATAGGCACCAATACACCAGAACCACACGCCTGATTTCTAGGTCGGTAAAGTTAGGTTGATATTCGATATTCAGCGGATATTCGGGTTTCGCCCCTCCTATTGCTCACAAACAACCTCTTAAAAATTCTGAAATAAAATTTTCAAAATCGTGGTAAAACAGACAACAAACTACAATCATTATATTTCGTCAAAGTACTCGATCTTTCCATTTCGCCGAATACCTCTGATGAAAATAGCCGGAATCGCTGCAGTAGACGCCGAAAACGGTAAGGGACCGTCGGTAAAGTGCGGGTACTGCTTAAAAACGTTCAAAGACATGAGGAGCCTGTTGGTGTTATTTATAAAGACTTGAAACCTACTGAAATAGAAAGATGATGTGAAAATCAATAACTGACACTAACAAGTATACATCTGACCTGATCTGACAAACATACTACAACCTTTAGATTGATAAAATTTGCCTTAGTTGAATTGCAGAGATTATTTTTTATACGTAATTAATTACTACTGTGAGACATCCATGAGACATACACATCTAAAGTCACCTGTAGTGTACAGGTACCCATCTTGCAAAATAATACAACCTTTAGTTTGATAACACACTCCTTTTTTTATTTTTTATGACATTTAAATTCCTACTGTGTCACGTACATATAACATACAGATTTAAAATCACTTGTAATGTACAGAGACACACCTGACAAACATACTGCAACCTTTAGTTTGGTAAAACATGCCTCGACTGAATTTTAATGAATTTTCTATAGAAATAAATTGATACTGCGTCACATCCAAAAGATTTACAGATCTAAAATCACTTGTAATGTACAGAGACACGCCTGACAAACATACTACAACCTTTAGCTTGGTAAAATATGCCTCAACCGTCTAAGCGTTGGCCCTATCATCAGGAGATCGCGAGTTCGATCCCTGGTGATGCTACAGCCATCCGTAGCCGGGAGTCCAAGAGAGCACAATTGGCCTCGCTCTCTCTGGGTGGGTAGGATGGCCCCTCCTTCTCCCCCCATCACTTAACGCGATGCTAGTCAGCGCAGGCGTCTGTTAGCTGACATAACAGATCTGGTGGTTGGCGCTTTCCTCCGAGCGCGTTCAGCTGTCCAATTACGTTGCGTGAGCGGCAGTTCGAAAAGATGCGGTGGTGCTTCACAGGTCTCGGAGGAAGCCTGTGTTAGCCTTCACCCTCCTAGCGTTGATAGCATCGTGTGATTGGGGGAGTCCTAATTAGCGGGTGGAATTGGCGACGACTAAATTGGGGAGATAACTGGGTTTAAAAAAAAAAATGCCTCAACTGAATTTTAATGATTTTTTTCTTGAAATAAAATGATACTGTGATACAATTGTAGTGTATATTGATTAGCAGTGAACATGTCACAAACCTATTTCAACCTTTAGTTTACTAAATTTATTCTTTGATTGGATTTTAATTTCCTGCAATGGACTTGCGACCTGTCCAGGGTGTTTTCTGCCTTTCGCCAAATGACTGCTGGGATAGCCCAGAAGGATAAACAGCTTAGAAAATGTGTGTGTGTGTCAATTTTAATTATTCTTCTTAAAAATTCCTGTTCACCTATTTGACATACTGAGCTAAAATCACTTTTAATTTATTAAGACACATCAATTGACCTCAATTGACAATCTGTGCATAGTTCCAGTCTTGATCTCACATACTTTAGAACATACACTTGATCAACGTCTTTAAGAGCATCTGAATACTAGAGTCAGGTGTGGTAGAACTACAACCCTGCTGGGTGGAAGTTTTTTAGGTGTAGAGTTGAGTATTTTTTGAGCACCCCATTTCCAAAAAAGTTGGGAAAAGAATTTCAAATTTCGATTCATTGGACCACAGGACACTTTTCCACTTCTCCTCAGTCCATTTTAAATGAGACTGGGCCCAGAGAAGGTGACAGCCTTTATGGTCCTGTTTATATATGGTTTCTTCTTTGTGTTTTAGAGTTTTAACTTGCATTTGTGGTTGCAGTGATGAACTGTTTTCACAGACAGTGGTTTTCGGAGGTGTTTCTGAGCCCATGCAGTGAGTTCCACTACAGAATCATGTCTGTTTTTAATGCAGTGCTGCCTGAGGGCCCAAAGATCACGGCCAGCAAAGACTGGTTTTTGGCCTTCTCAAAAATATTCATTAAAATTCAGTTGAGGCATATTTTAGTTTGTAGTATGTTTGTCAGGTGTGTCTCAAACCAATATGCTTGTATGTTATTTGTATTATGTTGTTTAATTAAGTACAAGTTATTTTATTTTGCAGTAGGTTTGTTCAGTGTGTCTCAGTTCAATTTGTAGGTCTACTGCATACGCCTTTAGACTGCCTGATTTGTGTATACTTAATGTCAGTTATTGATTTTCACATCATCTTTGTATTTTAGTAGGTTTCAGGTCTTTATAAACAACACCAACAAGCTGCTCATGTATGTGGATGTTTTACGTTTTTAAGCAGTACCCGCACTTTACAGACGGTCCCTTACCGTGTTAGGCGACTATTGCAGCTGTTCCGCCTATTTTCATCATATCTACTTGGCGAAATGGAAAGATCGGGTACTTCGGCGAAATATAAAGATTTCGTTTGTTGTCTGTTTTACCACGATTTAGAAAATGTTATTTCAGAAACTTTAAGAGGTTGTGTGTGAGCAATAGGAGGGGCGAAACGCGAATATCCGCTGAATATCCAATGTCAACCTAACTTTACCGAGCTCTGATTTCTGTGGTTTCTGAGCTTCCACACCTGGGCTCTGCACGTTTATTTCCGTGTATGATTGGAAATTTTAAATTTGGATTAATAAAATACAACGCTTTATTCCATTGTTGTTTGTTTTGTTTTTTTTTACTTTATGATTACTTTGTGAAATTGTAAAACGAAGCTATTACTTGATGTTTTCCACAGACAATCACAGAACTAAAAACGAGAGTAGACCAATTTGCCGTTTTTGAATACTGGTTTTTGAAAAGAAAATCGAATGACCAAAAGATATACGGACCGTGAGTACAAACGGTGTTTTCTGCGAGCAGCATTAGAATCAAAGCTTATTCCATTAACAACATAATGATCTTCGTGCTGTGGCGCAGTAATACAGAGTTCAGTCGCTGTGAGGCGGTCACAGGCGTGCCTCTCGTGGATTTTACAACGGCTCGAACGCGGCTCAGATCAGATTTTAGACCTATCCGTTTTGTAAGCTAATAATAGGTCTTAATCTTTCCATCACTAACCTCGACTTCCAAAGCAGAAATTCTTGACGTTTGGCACCAGTGATGCAGCTTTGTGTCTCCGTTTACTGCATCGCCTGATTCAGCAGAGCTGTTTCACATCTATTTTCCGCCATCAGGAGCCAAATGAAGGACTGCTCCAGACCATGAGCCAATCCAAACACAGAAGGCGGGCTGAGTCTTAAATTACAAGAACAGCTTTTGAATGACGCACAAAAATAGGACAGTCAAACACAACAGAGATTATTTACATCTTTCTCTCTTAAAGGCACAGTAACAAAACGGCCTGTTTAATTCCAGGTGTTGGTAAACGGACATGTAAAAATGAACTACAATTGTTTTTCACATTAAAGAGAGAAAGGCTAAGAGAGAAATACACACACATCTTCTGAACCGCTTATCCTTCAGGGGCGCGGTGGGGTGCTGGAGCCTATCCCAGCTGTCCTAAGAGAGAAATAAAGCTGACGAGTTAACTTGCCTTGAATAAAAGGAAAGTTTATTTAAGATATTTAATCTTTGTTAAAATAAGACTAATAGAGTGGTGTTTATCAAAAGTGGTGTACACCGACAAAAATCTTGCTAACAGATGTTGAACTGTGTTCATGAAAACAGCGTTCCCAAAAAATCTAAAGTGATAAAGTATTACACACCAGTAAACATCAGCTCTGACAGGAACACTTTCACAGGACAGAAACAAAGCCTGTATGTTTCAAATTTTGACATTAGGGTGGATTCAGATTTTATGGAACATCAGGTCATATAGTTATAATTATGTTGCAGGCCCTGATTAATGAAACCATTATTTTGTTCAAGTTCCCCTTGAAAATGACTTTTGTCACTTTAATGAATCTGTTTACTGTATTTCTGCTGATGGTGGAATTGGAAGCTCTCAAAGTGTCTCAGATCACTGGATGGCCCAGAACACCAGAATCCACCTTACTTTTAAGTACAAAACTTTTGGGAAGTGATGAAAATACATAAAAGTGATTACTTTCACTGCAAATTGTTTTATCTTATTACAGATTTGAATAATTGTTTTATAATGCTGATATCATAATGCTGGTGAAAACTAAAAACTGATGAGGTCACATCATTTAACCTTTAGTTCATGTTGTTCAGTCATCATATCACCGGTACAGATCTGAGCCATTTTCTCAGACTTGGTGTAGAGTTCCATCCTCTCACTTTGGCAAACTTGAAAGCATTTCCAAAAAGGTCAGGGAATATGGTCATCAGGTTTACTTTTTCTGCATCATCAGAGCTACACACACAGAAAGGAATCAATTATATGTGATCTGACACAAAGAATCACTTTAATAATGTATGTATATCTATAAATGGAACTCACTAGTGTTCATACAGATTCCGTATGAATCGCAACAGGCCAAGTAAGTTCTCTGGGTAGGGCTTTTTCTTACTATCTACGTTTTGCACAATTTCAGCAGGCAACTGTGGAAAAACACATACAAACAAGCATTTATTTAAAAAACTATGGTATTGTTTCAATACTTTTTTCACAGGCCATCATCAACTTTGACTCACCACATGGATGTGTTTCACCTACATTACAAGTGGCCACTTGCAACAAAAGGGGAGGAGGATTTTTTAAACAGAATGCACTCACCCTTGGCTTAACTAACCTCAGTGTGCCAATCAGCTAACTATGTAAACTTTGCAATGCAAAAAAGTTTGAACATAAGTTTGAACAGTTTGAGCACAGATTTGAAATTTTAAAAAAAAGTTTGAACTTAACACATGAAATTTGCTTTGTCTCTCTATGAGCTTTGGTTTAAAGTCAGGGTGTATTGCTTTTCTTTTTTGTTGTTGTAAAGCAATCATGTAGATGAGATAAAGAAGTTTCTATCTTAAAGCCCAGCAAATCAAATATTATTGTTTTGAAATGTTATGCATTTTAAAGTAGTTTACTGCTATAGCTTATAAACAGCTTTGTCCACCAATTTGTTCTGGTTAAAAAAGGGGAATTAGTCCCGGTTTTCTGATTGATTTCTACTGCTGAAGTCAACACTTGTGTATGCTTGATCCCCTCCATGAGCTCATCTAAAACACTTATTTTGAGATATTAAAATAATAGAACATACCATAAAATGGTGTTGGAGATTCCTACAAGGGGAAATTTCAGTTTTTCAAAGAAATCTGCAGGTATATTTTTATGCATCCAAAGTTCAGTCTTTTGGTTTGGAAGTTGGTTGCGTTTCTGCTTATCATGATCATGTAATCCCAAACACATTCAATGATTTTGAGGTCTGGACTCTGGTTGTCAGTCCATTGTTCTGAAAACAACAGCAACAGTTTTGGATTGTCTACCAGGTGTTACACTGCTGTAGATTAGGGTGGAAAGCAAACTCTGCAGAACAATATCACCAGGATCAGACACCTGTTCTAAACACGCTGCTCGTTACTCGTGGTTTTTGGTCTCACACCTACCTGTATTTAAAGGACCATAGAAAAACTGTTAACACTGAAGTGTCGCCATTGGAAAACTGTTAACGTTGAAGTGGGAGAGCTTTTAGAGTCTGTGTGTATATTTTTAAATACAACTTCATTTCCAAAAAAGTTGGGACACTGTGCAAAATATCAATTAAAATAGAATGCAACTACATGCAAATTATTTAAACCCTATATTTAATTGAAAATTTAACATATCAAAGATAACATATCAAATATGTAAACTGAGAAATTTTATTGTTTTTTGAAAATGATATTCCCATTTTGAGTTTGATGCCTGCAACACGTTTCAAAAAAGTCGGGACAGGGGCAACAAAAAACTGGTGAAGTTGTGTAATACTAAAAAAACCTCTGGCAGCAGGTCAGTAACATTATTGGATATAAAAAGACAAGTAAAGATGGGGAGGGGTTCAAAACTCTGTGAAAGACTGCATGGGCAAATAGTGCAACAATTCAATAATACTGGTTCTTAACATAAAATAGCAAAGAGCTATTTATTTTTACAGTACAATAATATCATTAAAAGATTCAGGGAATCCAGAGAAATCTCTGTATGCAAGGAACAAGGCCGAAAACCTGTATTGGCTGGCCGTGATCTTCAGGCCCTCAGGCAGTACGTCATTAAAAACATACACGATTCTGTAGTGGAAATCATTGCATAGGCTCAGAAACGCTTCCGAAAACAACTGTCTGTGAACACAGTTCATCACAGCATCCATAAAATGCAAGTTCAAACTCTACCATGCAAAAAACAACCATATATAAACAGGACCCAGACACGCTGCCAGTTTCTCTGGGCCCGAGCTCATTTAGGATGGACTGGGCCAAAGTGGAAAAGTGTCCTGTGGTACAAAAAAATCTGAAAAATTTGGAGCTCTTTTTGGAAATCATGGACACTGCATCCTCCAGGCTAAAGACCACCTGGCTTGTTATCAGCGCACAGTTCAAACGTCAGAATCTGTGATGGTATAGAGGTGCATTAGTGCACATGACATGGGTGACTTGCACATCTATGAAGGCATCATTAATGCTGAACAATAAATGCAGATTTTGGAGCAACATATGCTGCCATCCAGATGGCATCTTTTTCAGGGAAGGCCTTGATTACTTCAGCAGGACAATACCAGACCGCATTCTGCATATATTATAACAGCATGGCTCTGTAGTAAAAGAGTTCGGGTTCTAAACTGACCTTCCTGCAGTCCAGACCGGTCACCCAATGAAAACATTTTGCATGTTATGAAACAAAAAAAATATGATAAAGGAAACCCTGAACTATTGAGCAGCTGAAATTCTGTATCATGCAAAAATAGGAAAGCGTTTCACTTCTAAAACTACAGCAGTTGATCTCCTCAGTCCCAAACGCTTACAGAGTGTTGTTAAAAGATCTAAAAATCAAACTCTATTTCAGTTTCAATATATTACCTGAAAGTCCGAACTCCTCTTGTATGCACCGGTATTGTCCTCTTCAATGGTCTCCCTGGCTTTCCAGTACTTTGTTCCAGCAGTGCTAGTGTGCAAAGTCTTTTGTCCTAAATTCAGCCTCCGGCTTATACCAAAATCAGCTAATCTTGCTTTTCCAGTTATATCTGTAAAAAATTGAAAATCATTATTACATTAAAACTGCGATGACTGGCGACCTGTCCTTCTGAACGTCATTGTTTACCATAGCGTGTGATAGAAGCGGCTTTTTGAAAACCTGATTCATTCTTGCCATAAAGAATTCATGCTTAGACCAGAAGTTCTAACAATTTGTCCTACCCATCGAGTGGTCCTACTGAGCATGCACACATCATTATTATCGAGTAGTAACTAGTATTTTTAACTAATGTTAATTCAGCCTTACCTCAAGTCTGTTGTACAGGCTCAGCTTAGATTTAGGCTGTCAAAATGTCCTACCTATACATTTCAATACTAGTAACTAGCATTTTTTGAGAAGGTGATTTAGGCCATCAAAACATTCTACCTACAATTTTATGTAAGGAGCAACCTATAAATATGCGCCACAGAAGTTCTTTTGCACAAGGTAGCACAACTCATCAGAACACTGGAATTCCAAATATGGGCATAATGCCAACTATACAATGAAGTACAACTTTAGGGGTCTATGATCAACTGTGAGTTTGGAAAATTTGTCAATCCTAATGGGAGTGGTCACCAGCCCTGCTCCTGGAGATCTACCTTCCTGTAGAGTTCAGTTCCAGTCCAAATCTAACACCCCTGAGCTAATTAATTGGACTGAAGATCCGGATCAGTGTTCCAGGGTTGGAAGTCAACTCTTCAGGAAGGTGGATCTCCGAGGGGGCGCGGGAGAGGCGAAGAACCGCTCTGTAATGTCTTCCAGGTTTCTCAAACACTAGAGGGTGCTCTTGAGCGAGTCCAAAATAAATGGGTTAAGATGAAGCATTTGAGCAAAATCGTAGTTCATGAATGCCTAAACATTTTGATATAAAAGAATACATTCATTACCTGAACACAGAACAGCATAAAACATTTTAACACAGCTGTTATATTTTTTAAGAGCTTTTGAAATCAAGTTACAGGAGAAAACAGCACCTCATGTATATTGATGAGGTCAGTGAGCGCGAACAGCCAATGAGCTGCCCTGCTCACCAACCAATCAGCACTCAGTAGCAGTAATGCTGGCATCCTGCTGCCCCAAACCCATTCACTGCAGAAAAAAGGAAA